CAAATCTCATTCAACTTCTATCATTCACTGAATTTGGCATGATTTGCCTGCGTCAAGTCAGGTAAGGGTAAGCAGACGAGATATGGCACTATAATCAACCAATAATCTATCCATTGGATCAATCCACCAACTCGAAAGCACCAATCATTCCAGGGTTCCCAGTGACCCTGTCTTCCTCTCACTTCCCGCTTATCATGAACTGGAGATCAGCAAACACGTGGAAGGGCTATTTAAGTCATATGTGAGGCTGCTCGAAGGCGCAGTTCCTGTTTCCGTCTAAGGCATAGACGGTTTGGCAGTGTTCAATATACCTTACAAAATGCCTGCAATAACTCTGATGAACTTTGACACAAGCTAGGGACTCTATTCCAATAGGGCGTATTCAGAAATCATGCAAATGACGCTAGTTTTCCTATTTATTTCAAACCAAGTTTAAATTTAAGTTGAAGCTTCAATTGCGTTAAGCGCGTTATTTTGCTCATTTTAACTGATAAAAAGTTGTTGATGCTTAATACCATAACTTCATTCCCTTTTCTTGTTCGCGGGTATTCGCCTTGTAGTATGCGGAAGTTCACAGAAGCCCAACAAGCACGCAAGTTCCACTTCACCCAAAGATCACTCCGGTAAATCAATCCTTTCTGTCTTACTAAGTTACTAGTTGACCCAAATAAGCCATTTGAGCACTGTGGACTGCATCTGGCCTCAACGGCTGAACCAGTTTTTCAGGCTACTGACCTAGCTCATAGCCAGCAATGTTCTTTTCGAGGTGTTTTTACTTGCTAAACATTTATCCTTTGTGCATAAGGACTTAATAATACGCACCCACCAGTATAATGGACCACTAGTAGTGGGCTGAACTGAATAGTATGGATAATAAGCGCTTACTTCGGAGTTGAGCTTGGTTTGAAATGGTCGCGCATGTATTCATCGTCGTTGTTAATTCAAGTTTTCAGTCTTGCTTGTTTAAGCATTGCCTTATACCACTATTCTTTCCAGAAAAAAAGTGTGACATTTAGAATGCAACTATGTTCACCCTTTTGTGTTAACGTGAGAGTGGAATTCATTGAATCAAACACTAACTATAACGCATTGTTGGATGTGCCTCAGAAGACTTGTTCCGCTTTTGACGCCCTTGACTGCCTAACGCTTGAATTATTCCGAAGCAATCCTGCAAACCTGGGCCGTACTAATGGTATGAAGAGCCCGGAAGGCAGTTGAAGGGTCGCTGATTACTGCAAGTCACATCCTCGTAGACTACTGCCAATTAGTTTGAACTTAGCTTGTACAGAAGCTGCCACTCGTGTTTATGCCAACTCATTTTCATCGCCTTGTAAAAGAAGAATTTGCCATTTTTATTCCAAAATTGCCTGCTACCCCCAAAGTTTTGCCCACCTCATGGGCTTGTTTATGTGTAACAAGGCGTACTTACATAATCTGTCAACAATACCATGCGTTGTTTTAATACACCGGTTTTCCTCATTGAGGTGAGGAAATGCGATGAAGTACGAGAACTTCGGAAGCAGCAGCAGCAGTAGTGGAGACCGAAAAACTAGGAA